TAATGTGTTTATGGGCTGCTTCGCGCCACTGGGGACCAGGGTCCGTGGGAACTCTGGAATGCTAGGTTAGTGCAAGTAATAACAGCAACTGGCAGTGAAATGCCTGTCTTCTTTTATTAACTGTGCAGTAACCTGTGTGGATATAATTGCCCTTCCCAATTGTGTTCAACCCATTACTATTTTGTCCTTTTTGCAATAAAGGATTTCAGAGAAGATTTCTTTGTCACTTGAGGTTAATTCTCTGCTAATCTTAAAACAAAAAACCAGACAAAACAAAACTTAAAAATACCCACCTTGATTTGGGACAATTTTTTCAATAACCTGAGGCTGAGGTGCTGGCAGACGATTGTATGTGCATGCTAGAGGCTTTGCAGGATCTCCTAATACCTATTACCTTAATTGCTCTCCTAAAAACTCTCAGTTGCCAGAAGTTTCTGGTAGATATTGCCCAGAGCTAATGCTTCACTGTTCTGCAGTGCTGTGTGACTTTTGGTGCTTCTGATGGGAAGGGGAAGATGGGGCAGTGTCCTCCTGAATCCCTGCAGGCTGTCCAGACCGGCTTCATGGGCTGAGAAAATGAATTGTTGGCATTTGCAGTTGAGCCAGTGTTAAAAAAAAAAAAAAAAAAAGTACGGTGTCCTTCAAAAAAAGTTTATTTTAAGGTAGTTTGCTTGCTAGAGAAGAAAGCAACAAGTTCCTATTTGTGATCTTCTATGTGTCTGTCCTGCTTCTAGGTATTGCCCTTTTTCAGAACAGACTGCAGAAAGTTAGAACAAGGTTTTTTAGTGCTGTTGGCTAATTCATGATTTTGCTGAAGCCTTCATGAGAAAACCATCACAGCCCGAGCTCTGATTCTTGTTCTCTCCTCAGCCTCTCTAGAAGCACCACAAAGAACTAAGCAGAAGTTTTGCCTTGTGTAAAATGGACTTTTCTTGCAGGTCATCGTGGGAAGTATATTTGAAGTTATTTGGGCTGCAGTGAAACCGGGTACCTCATTCGGCATCAGCGTATTGAGAGCGCTTCGGCTGCTGAGGATTTTCAAAGTAACAAAGTACGTTCTGCTCCCTTCCCACTCACATTAGGCTTTCAGCACTCTGTGAAATCTCTAGCACCGGCCCCACAGCAAGTAGTAGTACTTTCCACGCTTGTAAATTAAAAACAAACAAACAAACAAACAAACAAAAACCCACCAAAAAACCCCAAACAAAAAAAAAAAAACCAAACCTGTCACAAAGGTCTATTCTGTCCTAACGTCCTATGTCTGCAACTGGCCCTAATGGAGGACAGGAACGGGAGAAAACTGCGGGTGCAGAGTTGCCCTTTCCTTGGCTGGGCAGCTGGGGTTTCTGGCAGTTGAAAGTTTAGGGAGACCCTGAGCCCGTGGCTGAGGAGCCCTTTGCCCAGCCTCGCGTGCAGGTCTGTCTGCCCTGGGCAGCATCCTTCTTGTCTTCGGGGGTTTTTTTAAGCTTGCCTAAAACAAAAATCTTGTGAGGTGATGCCTTATTTCTTCTGATAAGAGAAAAAAGTTTCTTATTTACTTTCTAAGCCCCATCAACTGCCCACTGTCCTTCTCTGCCGCTGCTCTGGGCATAGTTCCTTAAATATTTAGGAACGGGAAAGCTGAGCTACCCTGGTTATTGCTAGATACTAAATCCTGATGCCTGAGCTGCTGTCTTGACACAAATATGAAGTGTGTTGCTGTTGCCTGTGCTGTGTCTGGTCTGGGAACCTCTGAGGTTTTCAGCCTTGAGCCTGTGAAGTTGAATTTTCACTAGGGTTGGGTTGCCGCAGCTTGGCAGTCGTTTTCATGCTCGTGCGTTGTGTTAACGTGTGCTGGCACCAGCAAACAGCTACTGTGCAATTTATAAACCCATCTAGCGCAATTTCTGCGGGATTTCAAAATTGTGGTGTGGAAATTTATGACATATTTAGGTGCTCCTGCTGTTCTTTTCCACCTTTCTGGTTGTTTTGGTTGGTTTTTTGGTGTGTGGGTTTTTGGTTTTTTTTTCCCCCCACACCGTTACCTCCTCAGATCTCCCCGCTTTCCATCACTCTCTTATTTGTTCTTGGCTTGAAGGAGGAATAGCACCTCCCTCCAAAAAAAACCCAACACCTCAAATAGATAAAGCACAAGTTATCACATTTGAGCAAAACAAAGAAAGTTTTTTTCAAAGAAAAAACTGCAAAGTAACCAGGTACTTTGGCAGCTCTCCAAAGGCGCAGGTTTTGTTAACTCTGTTGAGTTTGCTGATTTGTATCTGCTAATCATGCTGCAGATCCAAGATTCGTGCGTGATACGGCGTCGTTTGTTGTACTGTGGGACAAAGGGGTTGGAAACATCAAGTTCTGTAAATGTCCAGCAAAATAGGTGGGCCCCTGCCCCAGAAATGTCGCTATGGTCTACCTTTGCACTAATCTGATTTATGAAAACTCCAGTTTGTTTGTTTGTTTCTTTTTTTACTGCTACTCCAGTAGCAAATTTGTAGTAATTAATTGTCAGCTGTCAATCTGTCAATTTTATCCAGATCTGTTGAGATTTAGCGTATCTGATTGCTTTAAAAATTTTGGACATTTTTGCAAGTTAAAATGCTCTTTTTACAAATTTGGACTATTCAGGATTTTAGCCAACATCATAAAGTGATGAAGCCCGAGATTTAACTTGAAGTACACCATGGAGCAAGCAGAGTGCTTTACCCCTTCTCAGTGCAGTGAGAGAAATTCTCACCAGGCATGATGGCACCAGGCACAGATTGCTACCCACCCTCTCTCAGTACAGTCTTTACTGCAAAAACACCCCGACCCTCAGTAGTTTTCTTTTTTTCCCTTTTTCCATCTCTTTTGTAGCAATTTTTCTCTGAAGCTCCCTGCCCTGTTGTGGGTTTTTTTGTGTGTCTGTGTTTAACAGAAGCCACTTGCAGGCCATCTGCTTTGAATAACCGATGGTATTAGACTTTTCGATTCATATGTCCCAAATCAGTGTGACTGCAGACAGCAGAGCCATGCAATAGCTAAAAAGTTAAATTACAGCTGGCTTGAAAAGCGACAGCAGATGCACTATGAGGAGACGCAGCCTAAGCGGGGCTAAAATCCAGCAAGGAGGATGAGAAGAAAACAGATTCACATGTTTTCCTTTTTGTCATGGCAGAGCTGAGTGGGGGACTGGCATCTGTAGAAATGCAACTCCCCGTATATCCTGGTGCTCTGTAGTCTGGCCGGGTTTGGTGCTGAGCTATTCCGGGGCAAGACGGAGCCTCCACATGTATTTTTGTGTCCGGTTGTGTTAACTGTGAAGTGCGACCTCCTTGCTTGTGGCAGACTTCGACTGAAGCCATTGTGTTAAGCACGGGAGAGACTTGGTCAGCAAACCATTCTTCCTTCTCCAAGGAGAGCAGCTCAGCCCCTTTGGCTTGGGGATTAAACCTGAGTAGGTTTGGTTGCAACTTTTTCCGTTGAAGATACTCTCCCAAGAGACCAAAGCTTCCCCTGAAACCTCTGTCGTCTTATTATGGATGTAACTTGTCTTGGCATGGGTGCAGCAGGAGTGCAAGATCCTGCTTCTCCTGGGATGGACGCTCCCAGGAGCCGTGGACGTGCTTCAGCACAGAGAAACGGGCGGTGGTTCAGTGCTCCCAGATACACCTGGGGGAAGGAAGGGCAGGAAAATGAAGGCAAAGAGAAGAGAAAGGATGGCATTTCTGCTCAAGCTTCTCTCCCCATCAGCAGATCAGACAAATCCGTGGGCTCCCTTCTGCCAGATGCCCACAGCTGCGCTGCAGGAAGGAGCTCAGCGTCCGGGGCTGTCCCCAAAACTGCAACCGGAGGACACGCAAGGCAGGGAGGTAGAGCATGCTGCGGCAGAGAGTCACCTCTGGATGGCAGCTCCCAGTGCCGCGTGCTGGAAACGGGAGAGGTCACTGTAAGAAAAGAGAAGAATTTCCCCCCATGGTCTCAGACTCAGAACTTTTAACAGAGGACATGCGAAATGGCTCTATATCACTTGTTTCCTGGTGCCTGCTCCAGCCCTGTTGTTCCGCATGCCTGTCTGTCCAAAAGGAGACCGTCAAAGAGCTCCTCTGCCTAATAGCTCTTCCTGCGTTTTCCGATTCATTAGTTTTCCTAATATAAATGCTCCCTGCCTGTTCTCAGCAGGGCAATAAAGCCAGGAAAGAGAGCTGTTCCTGAGCACCCTCCCTGGCTCGGCGTGCCTGCCTGCCAGCGTGCCAGGAGCCCTCTCGGGGCACAGGGGAGAGAAAAGCAAACGGACTGTAGTGTCTGGCCAGATGCAACTTGGATGCGTCAGTCGGGATTCGGGCTGAGCCGTTCCCTCTTGCTGTATTGGAGTTAATGTCCCGGGTTTGTTTGCGTCCCCCGAGGCGGCTGCTCAGTCCTGGGCGCTTCAACTCCGTGGCTGAACTGCCCCACACCGAAGGTGCCGTTGTGCATGAACCTGCGCGTGTTAAACGCCTACTGAAATGTTTAAACCTGTGGGAGGTTAAGTCCACTTGTGGCTACCGGCATTTGGTAAGTTGGACGGACGCACCGCAAAGACGCCCTGGTGGAAATGAGTCGTTTATTCCTGATTAGTGTCTTATGAAGGGTGGGGTTCGCTGTCCCCACATCCAGTCTCACCTTGGTGATATCGACACACGCCTGGTTTTGACACCCCTGCTGACTGCCATGCCAGATGAGAAGATGCAGACAGGTCGAAATCTGTAGTGGGAAAGGGGTTACTGAGAAACTGAACGGACGCTTTCAGTGCAGACGACTGCTCTGCGCGGGTGCACGTGCACCGAGGTGACCGTCTCTGCCCTTGAGATGCTGCAAGAGATTCTGCCGCTCAGTGAGCTGTGTTTTCCAGTCATAGAGGGGAGTTTAAAGATGCTCATGTTCCTCACCGTTCTTTTCCATTTTTATAATAAGAAAATAGATTGTATTAGTTTCTCGCCAAAGACTCTTCTCCCACTAACGTTCTCTCTTGGCTGCTCCGGTCTCCAACGCAGGTACTGGAATTCCCTGAGGAATCTGGTGGTCTCCTTGCTGAACTCCATGAAGTCCATCATCAGTTTGCTCTTCCTGCTGTTCCTGTTCATTGTGGTGTTTGCTCTGCTGGGGATGCAGCTCTTTGGAGGACAGTAAGTCTAATTCATCGTTGTCCTTTCTGGAGTAATCTGAAAGCAATCACCTGGAACATGGAAGGGAGAGGGCTGCAGGGCTTGGAAGAGCCACATCGTGGGTGCATGTGTCAGCCTTTTTGGGCTGCTGAGACGTGGCCTCTGGTTTGTAGGAAAATAGTTCCTGTTCTGGTGTTTTATCTGGAGCCGAATTCTTTCTGGTTCCCCTAATTCAAAGCTCCAGTGTCATTCCATGGTCCCCATGTACACCCAAAGCTCTGAAATAGGACTGTGGGAGGCAGCACTTTTTCTACTGTTAAGGAGAAAGGCAAATTCTTTCCCTGACAGTATATTTATTCACTTGGAATATTTTTCTGCTGGAAAACATAGTTTTGTTGAATCTGATTTTTCTCATTAGAAATGCCAGTTGTGATAAATTTTGCAGCAAGAAATACCATAATGTTATAATTTAAACTCCAGCATAAATTTTGAAATGAAATAACATGGTGGGGTTTTTTCCAATCAATCACTATTTTATCTTTAAAATATTACAATGAAACGCTCTACTAAGAGGGCAATTTCAGTTTTGACTTGAGAACTTCTTGGAATGGTTTGTTCTGCAAAATTATTTGAGATTTTGATTGTTCATTTTAATTGTGGGTGAAAATGAGTTTCAAAGCATCAGAATTTTCTCCAGGAATAAAATTGAGTTTCTGCTAACAGTTCTGTTAAGCACCTTCTCAGAGACACCGTGTTCCCCGCTGCGGTCGCCTGGGGTGTTATTGCCAGGTGGAACAAATGTTGCTCCCTGACTCCAGTTACAGGGTATTGCCAGGCTGCGTGAGAGCTGCTTGTCTCTCACTGCTCTTGTTTTTATTTCTTACTTCTCTCTAGATTCAACTTCCAAGATGAAACGCCAACCACGAATTTCGATACCTTCCCTGCTGCCATCCTCACAGTATTCCAGGTAAAGCCATACCTTGTCCTGGGTTCACGTTAGAAAATAATTTCCTGGCCATCTCTTCCTGCTTATGGAGGGCAAAGAGGTCCCCCAAAATCTGTGGAATTTAGGAAAAGGGAAGTCTTTCCTTCTCAAGCATTTTGCCACGCTGACCAATCAATGCATCGTTAAAAATCAATGTTGTGGAATTAAGGAAAACTAGAACAAAATATTTGTTGCTAGGAAAAAAATATTGATGAAATAGGCATCTCTGTGCTGAGCTTGAAGTCTGCGCGTGCCCAGGCTCTCTTCTTCGGGGGCCCCCACGGCGGTGGCTGCGTGTGCCCCGCTGCAGAGATCGTCCCACCTGGAAGCCCCAGCAGCGAGCGAGCCATCAACCTGTTCCACTATCTCCTGTGGTTGCCATAATTTAATGAGGAGAGAGGCCTGAGCTAGAAATAATGTCACATTTTACACGGTAACGGCTCAAGATAAGAATTACAGCCGGTGGGGGAGCACAGAAAGAGGCGTCAGCCTTGGGCAAGCGCGTGTGGCGGCAGGGAGAGTTCGCGGGTCTGGCAGATGCAACGCTCAGGTTGAAGAGCCCAATGTGGCGGCTGTTCTCTGCGTGCCTGTTTAGGGAGAGTTACGTGGGGTGTTTCAGTGGAGAGCTGGGGATGCTGCACGTGCTCCACACGCAGGCAGCGCTCGCAGGTCGGTGGAAGACTGCCCTGCACTTAGGGCGTTGTCCTATGCAAAGTCTTGACGGGGGCTTGAGTGAGACTTGACCCTGGGTCCGAACTTCCATAGATCTCAATAAGGCTTGGCTTATGTATTTCGGTCTCATGTCCCTAAAAAGGGCGAGGGGGGAAGAGTTTGATGACAGGCTTTGGGTTAAAACAGAAAAAGAGTCTAAAAGAAGATGTGTCCCGTGACCTCTGCATAAGCAGCTCCATGTGGGTATTGCTTCTCTCCAGATGTGGAGCAGGTTCAGCGCTACTTACCTCGCAGGATATTGCAAATCATGGTAGATTAATATTTGCATAGTATTTTAGTACTCATCAAAGAAAGGGCTTACAGAAATGTAAAGGTATTGCCCCAGAGCTGGAACTGAACCCGAGTCAGGCTCCGGATACGAACATCTGGAAATTTTGATGTTGTTTTGCTTTGGGACTATAGCTCTCTCTTGAGGATACTTAGCTGAAATATTTCCTTTCTATCCCTGAGATAAGTGCTCCTGTAACGTAGTGGCTGTGGGATGGAGAACACTGTTGGTTTTATGACATTTGTCTAGAACGTCAGAGCTACAAATTAAAACCAGCGAAACCATTAGCCCTGAGTCAACTCAGTGCAGCCTCGCAGGGGCATTTCAATAACCTCTGCTCCCAGTCCACCCCCCTCCTCCCCTGAATTTCAAATATTGTCTCAACATTACTTCAATATGGCCTTTGGGGCCTTTTCTAACCTTATCTGCCATAAACTCGAACAAGCCAGCAGGCTCGTTTGGTTGCTGCTCTAATGAGCAGAGTAGCATCATTCAGTGAATGCACTCAATGTGTTGAACAAATATAATAAAGCCAGATACACCCTGGCCATCCCTAATCCCTTTGGAGGTTCTTTGTTTAAGAAATCTTAAACAAAGTCTTCTGCAGCCTGCCTTAGCCCATTTTATCTCAGCAGACCTGGCTGGGTCACAGTCCTCTGCCCTGTGACTCCCAGGACATATTTTGTCTGCCTGGCAGCTGGCTGAATTCAGCGTTGGGTGCAGCTGAGCCCTGCTGTCCCTAATTCCCTTTGAAGAGCAGCACACATTTTTCTCCAGCTCTTTGTTCCCAAGAAAGCTAAATGCCAAGCTGTATATATACAAAATACAAACACAAACTCTATATTCATATATATACACACACACACACGAAAAATAAATCGCTGCATTTCCCTATTCCAGCAGTCATCGAGCTGGAAGCGTGTACAGCATCCGCAAGCACAGAGACCCTATAGAGCAGAAAGACCTGGGTTAACTCTACGTGCTCTGCTCCCTGAGAGCTGCTACGTAAATAATTCCACGCTGCCGGGTGCTGAGCAGCGCAGCCCCGGTGACCGCCGAGGGAGATGAGGCGTCGTGGTGGCAGGACGGGACCGAACCTCAGCTCTGCGGCCGGGCGCCCTGCCGAGGCTCGGGAAGCAGAGCTGGCTTCGGTCCCGTGTCCGTGTGCCCTGGCTGCCCTTGCTGACCTGCCGGGGAGATGTGACCCCGAGCTGAAGTGATTTTGCACTTGCTCAGGCACTTCTTCAGGAAAACGTCTCATTTTCAGGGTAACCCTTTGAGACGGTGTGGTGCTTATCCCCGGCAGCTGAGGGTTTCCCACTGTTAATGTGCTCATTAGTCCATTAAGATTTCACAACAGCTCTTGAAAACTGTTTTTATTCCATCACCTGATGGCTCCTCAGTCAAGCCTACGTATTAAAGACTGAGCTGCACTGGACAAAATGTTCATTTGGGGCAGCCAAAAGCAGTTCCGGGCCTGGGGAAAAACAAAACGTTTGGGCTTCACCTTACTCCGAAGTCCTCACCGCTTGCGCCCCTCCCTCTGCTATGCTGTCCTCTTCTCTCCTGTAGCAAGAAGTTCTTATAGCATCTGTAGACAGAGGCTTTATAGAGCAGAAAGACTTATTTACCTAATTGCTTGAGTAACTTCTCCAGCTGATGGGTGACAGCACAAACAGTGGGAAGGGCAGCGGGTCGAAGTGTCTGTCCTCTTGCCGGGGTCTCAGAGGGCATCCTCAGCTCTGCCCAGGCAGGCTGGTTAGTTTAGACTATTCGTCTCTCTGCAAAAGTTCCATCAAACTTTTTTCTTTTTTTTCTTCAAGTTTTCATTCCACTTTCAAAATAATCCACTTGGGTTTTTGAACCCAGAACCCAACCTGCTGCTTACGTGCAGCCTGTAATACTGGTGACTCCTGGTCTTCTGCAGGGTATAGAAGTGTTTCCACTGGTTTCCCTTTCCAGGAATGTTTGTGTGAACAGAAATCACTTTATGGTTATTCCCAGAAAGCAGGAAGAGTTGTGAATTCATAGAAATGATGTGAATGCAAGTTTGTGAACAATGTTTTGCATAATTGAGTACCAGAGTTGAAAGCCCAATGCCCTGGGTCATATCCTCTGGTGTAAATCCAGAGTAACTCCAATGGTGTGGGTTAGGCTTGGGCTCTGAATTCTGGTCTCTGAGCTGTTTGAGACCAGATTCTGAATTTAGGAAACCACTTTGTGTATGCGCTGTATGTCCTTGTGTCTGTACTTGCTCTTAGTCTATTGCTGTCATCAGCACCAACCCTGCAGCAAGAAATTTTCTCTCTGTCAGCAGCTGACGACTAGTCTGGAATTTGCAATCGTTTTGAGCATACTGTAGGCACATGGGACTTGATTACTACAACACACATCATGCTCTGGGCTTTTTTTTGTGGGTTTTTTTCCCCTTCTACTAAACACAAAGACAACTTCCTATTTAGGAATTGGAGCTTCGCATCCCAGTGGGCATGTTTTAACGTACTAAAAGTAACTATCGTTCGACTCTGCCCTGGCAGGCAGACGAAGTGCCGATCTGCCCAAAACGTTGCTGTGTTAAGCCATTGGTGAAGAACGAGGATGGCAGGCAGTTCAGACCGGTGCAAAATTAGCATCTAGCATGACAAGGCTTATTGGAGTCTTAGGTGTTTTCACTTATTATGATTATTATTATTATGAATAAAAATTAATTTCTGTTGTTGATGTGTTTGCAAATTAGCCTGAGGTCGGTGTCCAGAGCCCGCAGCCAGGACAGCACAGCGGGGCCAGGCTGCGGCTGTGCTCGCCTCCCAACAAGGGTGCAGGAGGAACAGAGTCCCCTTCGGGCCACCCACATCTGTCCCCACTCATATGCATTTGCTTATCGCTCCTGCTTAGGGTTTTTTTTTGTGTGGTTTGTGGCCGTCTGGGTGGCTGAGGGTCCTTGTGGGCTCGGCAGGCAGGAAGCCTGGAGAAGAGCCCGCTGTGGTGCAGACCGCTGGCAAACCTGGCAGTGGTCGTGCTGCCCCGTGCCCGGTATCTGGAGAAATGTTCACGCAGGCACCGGCTTCAGCAAAGGGCTGTCTGCAGCCCTGAGGGGCAGAGGAACGGTGGAAGGGGCTCGCAAGGGTTTCTCCTCCTGTTAGGCAGTCACTCGGCGTGCACGGCGTGCGTGGGCTGGGGCGAGCTGAGCAAACCCTTTCTGTGTGAAGCCAACGAAAGGAGATGGAGCTGGCAGAGGTCCCAGTCAGGGCGCTGGGCTGAGAGGTTGGAGTTTTCCTAGGTCTGTGGGAAATGCCGTGCATGGAGCTGTTGAAACCTGGTATCTCAACATGACTTAATTCCACTCCCATTTTTTTTCTGGGCGTGAAGTGTGGGAAAGCGGCTTTTACTGCCGCTGCCTGCATGAGAGCCTACGGTCAGAGGTGGGCAGCAGGCACGTAACTGAGAGCAGGCAGGAATGGGGCAACAGTCCTCCCTCACCA